CCTTAGAACTAGACCTCTTGCTCGGCGCCTGTGGCTCAAGCGGCTAAGGCGCCAGCCACATACACCTAAGGTGGCGGGTTCAAATCCCTAGCCCGGGCCCACCAAACAACAATGATGGCTGCAACCAAAAAATGGCCAGGCGTTGTGGCGGGCGCCTGTAGTCCCAGCTACTTGGGAGGCGGAGGCAGGAGACTCGCTTGAGCCCAGGAGTTGGAGGTTGCTGTGAGCGTGATGCCATGGCACTCTACCCAGGGGGATAGCTTGAGGCTCCGTCTCAAAAAAAAAAAAAAGAACTAGACCTCTTGACAGTAGGGCTCAGAGGAGCGGAAGTGAGACTTACTATGGGGGAGCTGCTCAGACAGCCCTGCTGATTCCTAGGCCCAGTGTTCTGTCCATGCAGGATCCAGCCCATAAGGGTGAGGCCTGTCTCTCTGGGTGTACTAGCCATTGCCCCTAGTGCTTGGTGCCATGGTGCTACCAGATGATCAGTAAGGCTGTGTTCTGCACATCTTGGGGTAGGCAGGGAAGTGTAGCCTTCTGGCCAGGGTGGATGATCAGGTGATATAACTTGATTCTAGACCAGGGCACTTGGTGCTAGTGTGATGTGCAGAACCACGTGTAAACCACGTGGACTTTTTCCTTCCTAGTCTCTTTATTGGAAGGAGCTCCTTAGAGGCCCTAAGTGTGGATACAGGGTGAAGGCATCTGCCTTGGACACAGGCAGCTTCCCTGTGTCATCCCTGTTTGTTCATTTCCCTGTGTCGTCCTGCATCTCCCTGTGCTGTTCTCACTGGGTGGGCTGCTGCTGCTGCACCCTCCGCCTTGGGGCTGGGTCTGCCAGGTGATGCCAAGTCCTGGGGGAAGCAGGCTGCTCAGTCACTCTGTGGCTCTTGGCCAGGGCCTGTGTCTCCACAGGAGAGCGTAGCATTCTCCCACAAGCCTGAAGGCAACTGGTCTGTGCTGTTGGCCTTTCTAGACGTTGGCACACTTAGTTTAAGCGTGTTTGTGTCTGTGAGGTCAGAGCAGCCTAGACTTTAGCTTGGATGGCTGCTCAGCTGCCTGGGGCTTTGGGCCTCAGCACTAGAGGGGAAGGCGCCCCAGGCGCTGTTCTCCTGTAGAACTCAGGGCCTTGGGTCTGTGGTATTGTTTCCGTGGTAAATGCTTTGGGAGCAACAGCCAGATTTTCATCCCAGAGGAAAAGCCCTGACATGCTACCTACCTTGGTATCCTCTAAAACCCCACTGTGGGTGAGCCTTTGGGGTTGGGGTATACATCTTAGCTCTCTGGCCGCTTATCTGAACATCTTGGGGTAGGCATTGCTTCGTCATTGTGGAGTCTGGTGCACAGCTGAGCAGCTTCCTCTGAGGCTCCACTCTGTGAGAAGGGAAGGGGCCCGTAGTCAGCTGCCCTTGGTGGATTTTCATAGATGGGTGGGGAGGGAAGCCCTGCCTGCTCAAAGGGAAAGGGAATGCCTGTGCTGATGAGTCCAGCTTCCCCAGTGGCCCATCCAGAAGAGATTGTGGGTCTGCTTGCTCATTCTGCAGTTTGAGTCTCAAGTCTGTTTTCAGTAAGTTCAACCTGTGTGTTTACAAGAAACAAAACCTTTTGGGGGCTGCCTTAGAAGTGTTCTGGTTTCCTGCTTGGGACCAAAAGCTCAGGCTGTTTGCTGTCAACTCCCTGCAATCCCCATCACCTAGCCATGCTCTTCCCAGCCTTCCCACTGCAGAGCTCCATGTCTGCCCTGTATTTTGGACTTTTGGTCAGGAACATTGGTTTTTGTTTTTTGTTTTTTGTTTTTTTTTTGAGACAGAGTCTCACTATGTTGCCCTGGGTAAAGTACTGTGCTGTCACAGTTCACAGCAACCTCAGACTCTTGGGCTTGAGTAATTCTCTTGCCTCAGCCTCCCGAGTAGCTGAGACTACAGGCACCCACCACAACACCCAGGTATTTTTTGTTTGCAGTTGTCATTGTTGTTTAGCTGGGTGGGCTGGGTTTGAACCCACCACCCTCAGTGTGTGTGGCTGGTGCCATAACCGCTGTGCTATGGGCGCTGAGCCGGTCAGTAGCATCTGAAGAAAGAACTCTGCTGCTTAAACAGAGGCTTAGAAGCTCCTGGACCAAGTGATGTTGCAGTCTCTGCAAGCCAGCCTCCCTTGGCACCACTTGGCATGTGGCACTGGGCTTGTTTCTGTTTCCTGTGACTTCTCCTCACCCACCAGCCCACTCGTTGGCTGACCCTTTCTCTCTGATGGCTACCCTCTTACATGTGTAATATTTGTTTCCTTTTAACATTAATTTTCAAGCCTGTAGGAAGTGGAGATCCTGTGTGTGCTCTGTGCCATTTCTGTACAGGCATCAGCTGTGCCATGTCCTGTGTTCCACTGTCACCTCCAGTGGGGTGTCTTTGGGCAGATCCCACATAGTAGCATTTCATCAATAAATGTTTTAATGTGTACCTCTAAAAACAAAAGGGTCTTTTTACAGATAACCCAAATACCATGCATTTTTTTTTCTTTTTATTTGAGCCGGAGCCTCAAGCTATCCCCCTGGGTAGAGTGCCATGGCATCACACTCACAGCAACCTCCAACTCCTGGGCTCAAGCGAGTCTCCTGCCTCAGCTTCCCAAGTAGCTGGGACTACAGGCGCCCGCCACAACGCCTGGCCATTTTTTGGTTGCAGCCATCATTGTTGTTTGGTGGGCCCGGGCTGGGGATTTGAACCCGCCACCTTAGGTGTATGTGGCTGGCGCCTTAGCCGCTTGAGCCACAGGCGCCGAGCCAATACCATACATGTTTAAAAGAACAACACGGTGCTAATTTTTAATATCATTAGAAAAAGTCCACAGTTCACATCCTCTCACCTGTCAGTGAACAGGCCATGTGCAGGGGAGGTTTGAAGTAGGATCTAAACAAACTCTGAACACCACAATTTGGCCAATGCATCTTTTCTAGGTTCTTTGTGGGAGTTGTTGGGTCATGTCTCCTGTAGATCCCTGGTATCTGGATTCTGCTTGCTATTGCAGTGACATTGTTTAATGTGCAACTCAGTTTCTGTGTCTTCTTTGAATGGGAGGTAGATTTGGAGGCCCCATCAGAATCACGTTGCCTGTTTGTTTACTTAGGTGCATGGAAGTGTCCCTGGCGATGTGATGACAGCAGGGGGGCACCTCTGGCTCCTCATCTTAATGAGGTTGAGGTGGAGTGGTGGCCCTGTGTTCTTCATGTGGACCCCCAGCCTTTGTGCACATGCCTTGGGCAGTAGCTAGTCACCAGTGTCGGCACCTGTCATTTCATAAGGGGTGACATTAGAACTCTGGCACTCTTTTTGCTTCTATTGCCAGAATTCTGCTAAAGAGGAGAACTTTCCTGTGTCCACTATTTGGTTGTTCTGAGTGTATTCAAAAAGATAGATAGGTGCTTGATTTGTTCTCCTTTCAGGTTTCAGGATAATGGGTCTGTTCCCCAGCATTCTCCAGAGGTGACTGTGGTCTTTTGTTGTCATTGTCATACACTTTGTGATGCTGTTATAGCTCACGAGTTTGAGTATATCACAGGCGTTGTTCTGATTGGCTTCCAGACTATTCTGCCATTGTCCAATGGGAATCCTTTCTAGTTTGCTCTTGAATTTTTTTTTTTTTAGGTTTTAAGTGTTTTCATTTTAAGGGAAAACACAAAATAATGAGGTCTCCTAATAGTGGTAATTTTTCTTTTCTATTTTTTTCTTTTTTTTTTCTTTTTTTTTTTTTTTTTAGAGACAGAGTCTTACTTTATTGCCCTCAGTAGAGTGCCGTGGTGTCACACAGCTCACAGCAACTTCCAACTCCTGGGCTTAGGTGATTCTCTTGCCTCCGCCTCCCAAATAACTGAGACTACAGGCGCCTGCCACAACACCTGGCTTTTTTTTTTTTTGAGACAGAATCTCAGGCTGTTTCCCTGGGTAAAGTGCTGTAGAATCATAGCTCACAGCAACCTCCAACTTGGGCTCAAGGGATCCTCTTACCTTAGTTTTTTATTTTTTATTTTTTATTTTTTTTTATTTTTAGTAGAGATTGGGGTCTCACTTTTTTTGCTCAGGCTGGTCTCGAACTCGTGAGCTCAAGCAATCCACCCACTTTGGCCTCCCAGATTACTAGGATTAAAGGGTGAACCACTGTGCACAGCCTCTTTTTTTTTTTTTTGGAGATATCATCTCTGTCGCCCTAGGTAGAGTGCTGTGGTGTCATAGCTCAAAGCAACCTCAGACTCTTGGGCTCAAGCAATTCTCTTGCCTCAGCCTCCTGAGTAGCTGAGACTGCAGATGCTGCCACAACACTCAGCTAGTTTTTCTATTTTCAGGAGATAAGGGGGTTTCACTCTTGCTCAAGCTGGTCTTAAACTCCTGAGTTCAAGCAGTCCACCTGCCTTGGCCTTCCAGAGTTCTAGGATTACAGGCATGAGCCACAATGCCTGGGCTCTAAGTTCGATAGATCTTAAGTGCACACACGGTCTGTCATCTTCACAGTGCACTTGCCCCTATGGCCTACAGGCCCCCAAGGTGAAGAACATTTATGTCACCCCAGAAAGTTTCCTGACACCTCTCAGTTGGTCCCCATACATTGCCCCCAATTCCTGACAAGTGTTCTTCTGATTTCTCTGCCAAGATTAGTTTTGCTTGTCCTCAAACTTCATATAAAGGGAACCGTGCAGGGTAGACTCTTTGGGGCCTGATTCCTTTTGCTCAGCATGTTTTGAGGTCTATTCCTGTGGTGGTTGTGCACTGAGTCCTGTTGATATGACCCCAGCAACTTTGATAGTGCCTTGCTTTCCGCTACCTTGTGATGCCCTGCACTTGTCTCGTTTGTGTCACCAGTCCTGAAAGGAGTGGTATGAAGGGCAGGTACACAGCAACACTGTCCAAACAGTGTCGCCTCCCCCTGCCAGCAGCAGCTCACTCATGACATGAGCTTCCTGATTTTATTTCCCTTTTCTATGACCTGATTTCTTGTTTGACTTTCCCCAGCTCTTGAGCATGTCCCAAACTCAGTTCGCTTGTGGAAAGCAGCCGTTGAATTGGAAGAGCCTGAAGATGCTAGAATCATGCTCAGCCGTGCTGTGGAGTGCTGCCCCACCAGCGTGGAGGTAAGTTGGCTGTGTTCAGAGCCACCACCTGTGCCAAGGCCTGAGCCCAAGGTCGGTGTCTGGAAGTGGCGTAGAGGAGCACTGAGCTCCTCCAGGCTGCAACTTCTGTGAGTAGGAGCCAGTATGGAATCCCAGGATGCTTTTCTGTGATGGCCACTAGGCAGGGTGGGCAATGGTTTCGGCTAGTTGTGACCCTGATGGAAGTGCAGGAGAGAACTTGGGCTTGTCCCTGACACTCCAGAAAACATTTTTGGGCAGTCCTGATTTATCTCAGAGTTTGTCATGGGAGCTAACAGTGGCAGGGTGATAGAGAACATTGGTCTGTTTTCCTGCCAGCCCACATGGGGTCAACTCTTTGCCACACAGCTAGTAGGATTTCTCTAACTTTAAGCATTTCAGATCATAACATTCTGTGCAGTGATTTTTAGTCTTAGTTTTATAATACCCAGTATGTCTTTAATTATCCTAAGGGGTATTGTGAAACTCTCTTAACAAAATCAGTCTTTTATTTACATAAAAATAAAGAGCCCATACACATTTGGGGGATGGAATGTTGCAGAGTAAACAATGCTAGAGCATGAGAACTCCAGGAGGCTGAACACTTGTCTGTCCATTTAGCCCTTGAGGGCAGTAGCCATGTCCCTCTCATCTTCTGTCCCTAACACTTTGTATCATGTCTGGCACACTGTGTACAAGTGACTGGTATTTGTGAACATTTGACCAAGAATCTTGTCAACTTTTTGTGCTAACCAGAGTCACTGAGTTAAGTCTGGGAGATAAACGAATAATTGATCAGATGAGAAGTACTACCATGAACATTTCACAGGCTCTGTTTATATGGTCCTTGTAAGCTTTTATTGATTTCTTTTGAGATGGGATCTTGCTGTGGCTGCCCAGGCTGGTGTCTAATTTCTAGGTTCATGGAATCCTCCCCCCTTAGCCTTCTGAGTGGATGGGATGACAGGCGCACACCACTGTGTGGACCTTGAGAGCTTTTAAGAGGAACTGTGTGGCATGCTGGTGGCCAATGCTGTGGGTTCACTGCCTGGCTTATCCCGTCTTCTCAGTCAGCTGCTCTCTTCTCTCTGATGCCTCTTTGTGCAGCTCTGGCTTGCTCTGGCAAGGCTGGAGACCTATGAAAATGCCCGAAAGGTCTTGAACAAAGCACGTGAGAACATTCCTACTGACCGGCACATCTGGATCACTGCTGCTAAACTGGAGGAGGCCAATGGGAACACACAGATGGTGGAGAAGATCATTGACCGGGCTATCACTTCTCTGCGGGCCAATGGTGTAGAGATCAACCGTGAGCAGTGGATTCAGGTGGGCTGTAGTCAGGCGCTGTAGTGTTCTGCATGCAGAGTCTTGTGTAGGGCAGGGGCTTCTTGATGGCCCTGAAGAGTCCCCAAGCTGACAGAAGCAGTCATAGGTGTGATAGGTGGTCCTGGGTGATCCAGTCACGCACCTCTTCTCTTGTTACGGCCCTGGGTAGACTCAGGACCTGGAGTTGGTCTCAAGTAAACTCCTTTGAAGCCTTTTGGTGCACACATGTGTGGCTGCCCTTCTTTGCTAGCAGAAAGAACATGCCTTGAAGGAAACGACAGGAAGTTTCATGGCTTCTCACTGTTCTCTGCCTTCTAACTTTTCGTAGACTTAAGGCTATAGAACTTTTTTTTTTTGGCTGGGCTGGGTTTGAACCCGCCACTCTGGCATATGGGGCCAGCACCCTACCATTTTGAGCCATAGGTGCCGCCTAGGTTAGAGAATTTTCTAATGTTCCTCTCATGTAACCCAGTCTTGAGTCCCCGCTGTCACCTTCCTCCAAGGAGCCATGCTCTGAGAATAAGCTCTGCCTGCAGAAGGTGCCTCTCACATACTCTGTGCAGTAACTTCCTGGCTTTACTCTCCCAGGAGGACCCTCCTCTCCCCTGCCCCGTGCTGGAAGATGACTTTGTAGGTCCCTGCATGCTCCTTCCCCAGAGCCTGCTGCTGAACAGTTTGGTGCACATTCTCCACAGTCCCACCGTCTAGGTCCTGGTCCCATACCGCTCCAGGCTCCACCAGGTGGTGCTGTCATCTTCCCCTTATGCCCTCCCCTCCCAAAGATGCTGCTCTGCTTAATGCCACTGCATGTTCCTGCTTCTCCTGGACAGTTTTGTTAAGTTATGTGGCCCTTTTCTGTGTTTGGACAATTTCAATTTTTGTTTTTCTTTTCCTTTTTACGTTTTTTCTTGAGCCATGGTCTGTGTCTACTATGGTGTCAGCCTAGCTCAATAGCAGCCTCAAACTCCTGGGCTCTAGTTAGTGACTCTCCCAGCTCTGCCTCCTGTGTAGCTGGGAGTAGAGGTGTGTGCCTCTAGGTATGTGGCTCTACGCCTGGCTAAAGTTTTTAAAAAATGTATTCCTGGCTCGGCGCCTGTAGCTCAACCAGCTAAGGCGCCAGCCACGTACACCTAAGGTAGTGGGTTCGAATCCAGCCTGGACCTGCCAAACAACAATAATGGCTGCAACCAAAAAATAGCCAGGCGTTGTGGCGGGCGCCTGTGGTCCCAGCTACTTGGGAGGCGGAGGCAGGAGACTCGCTTGAGCCCAGGAGTTGGAGGTAGCTGTGAGCTGTAATGCCACGGCACTCTACCCAGGGGGACAGCTTGAGGCTCTGTCTCAAAAAAAAAAAAAAAAAAATGTATTCCTTTAGAGACAGGATCTCTCTGTATTGCCCAGACTGGTCTCAAACTCCTGACCTCCAGCATTCCTCCTGGTTTCGCCTCCCAGAGTGCTGGGTTATAGGCATGAGCCTCCAAGCACAGCTTGACTGACTTTATTTCTTCAAATCTGCAGTGTCTTATTTCTGCATCTCATGTGTGGTCTTAGGTCAGGAGTACTTTCCTACTGACTAGTCTCCCCAGAGGATGCCTTCGGGATTTGTCTCTCAGCTAGGATGCTGTCTCCTGTGTGTAGGGCTCCCCTGCTGGGCAGGTCCATTTGTCTGGATCAGAGTGATTCCTCCTCTTGTCAGTTTCAAGTGTTGAATGACTATCCTTTACTCCTACTACTCTAGAAGTTTCTTCAGCATAGCTACCAAGTGGCCTAGCATAGCCTTTTATATATAAGAATTTTTTACTTAAGTTTATTGAGGAAATGGATGTGGTTTGGGTCGCTCAGTATTTATTAAGCACCAAGGTACTGGGAGGCAGGGCGGATGGCGTCAGTGTGCTGGACACAGCCTGGTGTACTGCATCTGCCTTGGGCACTACGTGTTGCACTTCTCACCGTGCTGAAATGGTGTGCTCCTTGTCTGGCACCTGCGGTTCTGACTTCAAACTCAAAAACGAGTTTTTTGTCCCTCTTTCAGGATGCCGAGGAATGTGACAGGGCAGGGAGTGTGGCCACCTGCCAGGCAGTCATGCGTGCTGTGATTGGCATCGGAATTGAGGAGGAGGACCGGAAGCACACCTGGATGGAAGATGCAGACAGTGTAAGTTGGCCACATGGGTGTTTGTGCACATTGTGGAGTCTCTAAGGGGAGCAGCAGGTGCCTAGCAGGCTATTTCAAAAATCTTTTTATTAAAATAAAAAGAAAAAAGATTGGGTGCAGTGGCTCACACCTATTATCCCAGCACTTTGGGAGGCTGAGGCAGGTTTGCTTGAGGCCTAGAGTTTGAGACTAGCCTCAGCAAAATAGTTGAGACCCTGTCTCTACAAAAAATAAAAACCTTTTTTTTTGAGACAAGAGTCTCACTTTCGTGGCGTAACAGCTCACAGCAACCTCAAACTCTTGGGCTCAAGTGATTCTCTTGTCTCAGCCTCCCAAGCAGCTGGGACTATAGGCGCCCATCACAACGCCCGGCTATTTTTAGAGATGAGGTCTTGCTCTGGCTCAGGCTGACTTCCAGCTTATGCGATCAGGCAGTCCTCCTGCCTTGAGCTTCCAGAGTGCTAGGATTACAGATGTTAACCACCATGCCCAACCAATGAAAATGTTTTTAATGTACTTGTTTTAAATATAGTTGCAAGGAGTACACAATTTTCTGTGAGCCTTTAAGTGAAGAGCTGATGTTTTTAGTTCTTAAGAGGACAAGGAGGCTCGGCGCCTATAGCTCAACTGGCTAAGGTGCCAGCCACGTACACCTAAGGTGGCGGGTTCGAATCCCCAGCCCGGAACCGCCAAACAACAATGACGGCTGCAACCAAAAAATAGCCAGGCGTTG